ACACAGAATTGTTCCTGAGGGACAGACACAGAATTGTTCCTGAGGGACAGACACAGAATTGTTCCTGAGGGACACAGAATTGTTACTCAGGGACACAGAATTGTTACTCAGGGGCCACAGAATTGTTACTCAGGGACACAGAATTGTTACTCAGGGACACAGAATTGTTACTCAGGGACACAGAATCGTTGAATTAAAGAGTATGTCAGACAACATGGCAGAGGAGGCAATGTTTTAGGAGCGAGCAGACGTGGCAGCAGAGGAAGGGGTCGAGGCAGCACTAGTTGCAGCCAGAGGACAGTGCTCCCGGTGTCATCCAGCGGTCGTGTCTCCACCGACAACCCTGCCGTCATCGATTGGTTGGCTCGGTCGTCTTCCTCTTCCCAGGTCACCTCTGACACCTACAGCCAACGGTCGGTGGGTACGTCAGACACAACCGTTAGTTGGCATGGCCCGGGAGCAAGCCCACTGAAATCACGTGTCCTCTACCTGCCCCTGTCCTTTGGTGTTCCCTCACCAAGCGAAGTATCGCATGCTGTGGGCTCAGCCCCACTGTACAGTGAGGAAGAGCTAACAGAGGGCGGTCAGGAACGGGGGGGAGACATCCGCCTCTTCAGCAGCCAGGCGAAGAAGTACTGGCGAGGAGAGTGGCTCGGTAGCCGGTCTAGAGACAGGTCTGTCTCCTGACCCACACGCAGCCGAGGGGGCTAGTAGTGAGGCGGAGACCCTAATTGATGATGATGAGGTTGATCGCACTTGGCAGCCTCGTCGTCATCAGGCTATTGCTTTCCGCATCATCAGGAGAAGAGGGTGCCAGCTTGGCAGCGAGCAAAACAGTCGGTGGGTTGCCCAGGAGGCAGCAGGGTTGCAGCAGTGTCAGTGGAGGCAAACGGCCACGGAGTACAGAGCACCAGCTCCACTGCAACCTACCACCACGGCCAGTAGTGGTGCCGGTGTGCATGGAGGAAGCAGCAGTCAGCCAGTGAGGAGTAGCGGGGGCAAAGTTTCCTACTCGGCGGTGTGGCAATTTACGCCCCGGAAATACGCCCCGTAGCGCTACGCCCGTACCGCGTAGCGCGGTGACGTATTTCCGGCGTGGCGGCCATCTTGGTACACCTGTGTATTCAACTGTACACCCAACAGATATATCCTCATCTGAAAGCATGAGGTTCTAGTGTGGACTGGCTGCTACGTAAGTTCGTTTTTATAAGATATTACATGTTCCTATGGTATAATAAATATACTACACTATGGGAGGATTCCTTTGTCTCATTCTGAGAGATTGATATTTCAACTTTTCCTGGAGAAGAGCCTGAGTGGGAATATTATATCCTGAAAAGCGGTTTTGGAGTGCTTTGGTGCCTGGAGGATCTGTGAGAGGGATCCATTACTGCTCTTTGATCCGCAAGGGTCGAAGGGATGAGGTGAGAGGCTAATCCAGAAGGTGGTTGGATTCATAAGATCTATATACACCCAGATACCTGCACGAATTTTCTTCACCTGTGGTCACTAACAGTATTATTTGGAAGCACCGTTTACTGTTTTGTTCACCTACAACATTCTATTTTTGGACTTTGAGTTTGCGTGTACCATTATTATGGTTATTTTTTTCACTTCACAATATGCACGTGTGATTTAATTATATGTATGTATATTCCTTTGTTCATGCACATACGTATAGATACAGCTTTGTGTTTCTCATCTTTTGGGTGATTTATTTGATATTTGATTATCAGCAAGCACGTATAGATTTATATTGTTATTATTATTGTCACATTTTTGATTTGAGATGTTGGATCCCACATTCACATAATTGTTTTTGAATGTAGCGCAGCATTCTTTATGGTTTATATTCACTTGATCACTGGTATATGATTTAATGCTAGCAGCTCTTTTGGGGTTTATACATTTACTTTGGTTTAATAATTTTAAACACATACTTGGAGCGCAGGAGGGTTACACCACTATAACGGAAAGAACATGGTGTCTGCTCTGCGTCAAGGAAGGTTGTGCCATGCGCATGCATGGCTCACGTGTTCAATCTGGTTGTCAAGCGGTTCCTAAAATCCACCATCCCACTGCAAGACATCCTTAAAATGTCACGTAAACTTTGCATGCATTTCAGCCATTCCTACACCGCAAAGCACACCCTCCTTGAGCTGCAGCGGCAGAACGGAATTCCACAGCATCGCCTGATCTGAGACGTTGCAACAAGGTGGAATTCAACCCTACACATGTTAGACCGCCTTTACGAACAGCGAAAGGCCATCACCGATTTCCTGATGTTACAAGCGGATAAAGGTACTCCCCTGTGTAACTTCGATGTCAGCCATTGGCAGCTCATGCGTGACACCTGCCGCTTGCTCAGGCCCTTTGAGGAGGCCACGCTATTCGTGAGTCGGCAGGACTATGGGATGAACGACGTCATTCCTCTGTTGCACGTCCTGGAACAAATGCTGTTAACAATGGCTGGTCAGGGTGCGGTAGACGTGGCGCACAGATCTCAACGCCACATGACCCCTGTGGGGGCAGGACAGGAAGAAGAGGAGGAGGTAGAGGAGGACATTTGTGCTCAGGAATTATTGAGTGAAATGGGTGGTTTTTCCACTCAGCGGACAGGAGTGGAGGAGCAGGAGCATGTGGTAGAGGAGGAGGAGGAGGAGACAGAGGACCCAGACGCACCGTGGCAGTATGCTGTGGAGATGGAGGCAGGGAGTCCCTCGCATTCCTTGGCACAAATGGCCCATAGCATGCTCGGTTGCTTGCGTAGCGACAGCCGAATAATAACCATCAGACAGAGGGATGACTTTTGGCTGTCCACCTTGTTGGACCCTCGCTACCGTTCAAAAATGGTGGCCTTTTTCACACCTGCTGAGAGGGAGGCCAAAATAACGTACTATAAAAACCACCTATGTAGTCAGCTGGTCTCTGCCTGTCTGCGCCAACGTCCATCCTCAGACACTGTGGGCCCTGTGCGCTCGCGTTCCGCTGCCATGGCAGCAGGGGAGGGGTGGGGTGGTAGGAGCAGTGGCAGCTCCACCAGCAGCGGCTGCCTCAGTCTGCAGTCGATGATGAGTAGCTTTCTTCACCAGCGCAGTGAGGAAACTACTAACCGCAGCCGCAGCAGCATCAGGTGGACCTGGAGCAGGACCTCAAACAACAGGCTTGGGCCTACTTGGACAGCACCCTGCCAACCGAGGTAGACAATCCCCTTGACTACTGGGCAACGAAACTTGACCTTTGGCCCCAACTAGCATAATTTGCCCTTGAAAGGCTGTCATGCCCGGCCAGTAGCGTGGCATCGGAGCGCGTGTGTTTAGTGCGGCAGGAGGTATTGTAACTCCGCGGAGGACACGACTGTCCACCCAAAGTGTGGAGAGACTCACGTTTGTGAAAATGAATCAGGCGTGGATTAGTCTGGATTTCAAACCACCAGTTCCTGACACAACTGACTAAATCCACCATGAATCATGCCCCAAACATGTGCCACTTGTCTCCTCACACTGCTGGTGGGTTCCATTTTGTCATAGGGTGCTGGCAGATTACGGGCCTCCCATAGCTGCTGCCAGGCCCCTAATCTGCCATGGGCCCCTGTACCACCTCCTCATGCTGCTGCCAGGCCCGTAATCTGTCATGGGTCCCTGTACGGCCTCCCATTGCTGCTGTCTCCATCGCCACACTCTGCCATGTGCCACTTTCAGGTCTCCTCACACTGCTGGTGGGTTCCATTTTGTCATAGGGTGCTGTATGGCCTCCCATTGCTGCTGCCTCCACCGCCACACTGTGGCTCCACACTCTGGTTTTGGCCCCGTGACTGCCCAAATGAGTGAAGTGTGCGGTGATTCTAAGATCGACGGCACTCATCTGCATGTCATACTGACTGACAGTATTATTTCTCTTCCCCAGCAGACTCCAAGGGCATTTAAATTAAAGGTACAGTGTTCTGCACTAATATAAAGGCTCTCTGAAGCCTAGAAACACCCTTTTATAAGTTAAATTCGCTGCGAATATATTCGACTCAAATCGAATTTATTCCTCGAATTCGCCGAATCAGTCGAATCGAATTTTTGAATACTTCGCTCATCTCTATTTATAACCAAAAATTATAATTGTAAAAAATATTTTTTTTACATTATTTCTTTTTTTACATACTGTCACCCTAGCAGTACAGGTCACCATGGTGACACTGTACTACTTGTGGGGGGTGATGAAGATTTTGTTTTTTTACACCCATAAAGGCTGTAAAAGCAATAATTTCCGAGGGAGTGCACACAAGCAGGGGGCGGGGAGGCCGTTTATAAACAGCCACCAGACTCTGCAGTGCCACCATCCGGTTGTTTATATACAACGGCTGGACGGGAAGTGGTTAAAGCAAAAATGTACTAAGGTAAAAAAGGGTCTCACCTTTACAACCACTTCTCAAAAAAATATGCCAGCTTTCATTTACCGCCCCCCACCTTCATGCGTGTCATTGTCACCGCTCCGGCCACTCTGCACTGCTGGCAGCGGTAGGGGGCAGTGTGGGGCGTGATTCAGCACATCACACGGCTCCCTTTTTTTCCTTTGTATAAACTTTATGCGAAGTGTGCAAAACGTACATTTCATGCACCGCAATGCAGGGCAGTGAGCTGCGCTGCGATTAAATGCAGATTTGTTTGCATTTTACAGCACCACGATGCAGCGTACCGCAGGATAGCATTGTGTCCCTGCAGTACAAAGCCGTAAAACGTCTGTCACTGCATAGAGTGTGGATTGACCCTAACAAGAGCATTCTCACTGGACAAGGAAATGGCAGTTGAGCAAGGCAGCCTTTTAATTGTGGATCTACAGAGAAAGGAAAAAAAAAAAAAAAAAAAAAAAAAAAAAAAAAAAGGGACTACTCCAGGCACGGTAGTTTTATAATTTATTTTCAGTATAAAGCAGAATGAGCCGTATCTGGGTGCAGACCGGGCCCCGGACAAACCTCATTAAACACCATAAAAGCCGACAGGTCAGCGAGGTCACACGGACGTTCCAGAGCCCTGGCTGGGTGCAGACTCCTTCTTATTGTCTTCAGGTTTCATGGCGGGAAACAGCAGCACCTCCTGGAAGAATAGACAGGCGGGTATTAGGTACCTGGGAGAAGAACAAGCCCACATGAAGGCCGGATCTCCTCCCCAACCCCGACATACCTTGATGTTGTTTGAGTCGGTTAAAAACATGGTAAGGCGGTCAATGCCCATTCCCCATCCAGCTGTAGGGGGCAGCGCATACTCCAGGGCAGTGCAGAAGTTTTCATCGATGAACATGGCCTCGTCGTCACCCTCTGCCTTGGCCTGTGGAAGCCCAAGAAAATAATTTATATCACATTTGTAGAGGATCAATCTACCCCTACTGTCCCCTTCCCCCAACCCTACCCTACCCCCCCCCAACCCTACCCACCCAACCGGATAGAGAGAACGCGGGGTCCGGGGAGAGCGGACACAGCGAGCGCGGGGTCCGGGGAGAGCGGACACAGCGAGCGCGGGGTCCGGGGAGAGCGGACACAGCGAGCGCGGGGTCCGGGAGCTGAGAGCGGACACAGCGAGCGCGGGTCCGGGGAGAGCGGACACAGCGAGCGCGGGGGGTCGGGGAGAGCGGACACAGCGAGCGCGGGGTCCGGGGAGAGAGCGGACACAGCGAGCGCGGGGTCCGGGGAGAGCGGGCGAGAGAGCGGACACAGCGAGCGCGGGGTCCGGGGAGAGCGGACACAGCGAGCGCGGGGTCCGGGGAGAGCGGACACAGCGAGCGCGGGGTCCGGGGAGAGCGGACACAGCGAGCGCGGGGTCCGGGGAGAGCGGACACAGCGAGCGGGCGGGGTCCGGGAGCGCGGGGTCCGGGGAGAGCGGACACAGCGAGCGCGGGGTCCGGGGAGAGCGGACACAGCGAGCGCGGGGTCCGGGGAGAGCGGACACAGCGAACGAGCGCGGGGTCCGGGGAGAGCGGACACAGCGAACGCGGGGTCCGGGGAGAGCGGACACAGCGAACGCGGGGTCCGGGGAGAGCGGACACAGCGAACGCGGGGTCCGGGGAGAGCGGACACAGCGAACGCGGGGTCCGGGGAGAGCGGACACAGCGAGCGCGGGGTCCGGGGAGAGCGGACACAGCGAGCGCGGGGTCCGGGGAGAGCGGACACAGCGAACGAGCGCGGGGTCGGGGTAGAGCGGACACGCGGGGTCCGGGGAGAGCGGACACAGCGAACGCGGGGTCCGGGGAGAGCGGACACAGCGGACACGCGGGGGGGTCCGGGGAGAGCGGACACAGCGAAGAGCGGACACACAGCGAACGCGGGGTCATCGAAGAAAGTTTCTGTGCGATTCGGTCGCAATTACTTTTGCTTGATCTTCGAACAGCTCTCTCTGTCGGATCGGGTCGTTCATCTCAGTGTAGGCGTTGCAAATCTCTTTCTTCATGACAAAGAGCTCAAATCTTTCCGTCAGTCCCTTCTCTGACCGATGCCTGACACACAAACAACGTCACATCAATGTCGCCAACAAGGAAAGCAAGCAAATAAAAAGAAAAAGTTTCTGAAGAGATCAGGAAAGATTCCTACCACTTGGCCAGCGGGCTCATGATCTGAGGATGGTCAATAATAAAAGTTGGATTGATACAGGTTACCTCCAGGAATTCACCGACCAACTGGAAAACACAAAAAAACAAAAGGTATTGCTTAGGAATGACGACATTTTCACAGATTTAAGGACTCAAACCTTTCTTAACTTTACGTTTATTACATTTACTGATGTGAAAGTACTTTTTTTTTTTTTTTTTTCAAGCTTTAAGCAACTTTATTCATCCAGGACTGGACAGTGTTACTCCCTCTAGGGACCTTTTCAAGTTAACAAAATGGTTTACCAAGGATCCTCAACATTCAAACACACTGCTATGTATGAGGTAAACACCTTTGGACCAATACCGAGGCCGAGCCACACTCGGAGTGTCTTATGGACATAGAGGGCCAGCTCTGGGGCAAGTTGCTTGCTCTGGGTCCACTGGAAGGGAGGGGCCAGGAGTGCCGGCGCAGGACCCGAGAAGAGGAGGGAGGGGCCAGGAGTGCCGGGGCGGGACCCGAGAAGAGGAGGGAGGGGCCAGGAGTGCCGGGGCGGGACCCGAGAAGAGGAGGGAGGGGCCAGGAGTGTCGGGGCGGGACCCGAGAAGAGGAGGGAGGGGCCAGGAGTGTCGGGGCGGGACCCGAGAAGAGGAGGGAGGGGCCAGGAGTGTCGGGGCGGGACCCGAGAAGAGGAGGGAGGGGCCAGGAGTGTCGGGGCGGGACCCGAGAAGAGGAGGGAGGGGCCAGGAGTGTCGGGGCGGGACCCGAGAAGAGGAGGGAGGGGCCAGGAGTGTCGGGGCGGGACCCGAGAAGAGGAGGGAGGGGCCAGGAGTGTCGGGGCGGGACCCGAGAAGAGGAGGGAGGGGCCAGGAGTGTCGGGGCGGGACCCGAGAAGAGGAGGGAGGGGCCAGGAGTGTCGGGGCGGGACCCGAGAAGAGGAGGGAGGGGCCAGGAGTGTCGGGGCGGGACCCGAGAAGAGGCGGGAGGGGCCAGGAGTGTCGGGGCGGGACCCGAGAAGAGGCGGGAGGGGCCAGGAGTGCCGGCGCGGGACCCGAGAAGAGGAGGGAGGGGCCAGGAGTGCCGGCGCGGGACCCGAGAAGAGGAGGGAGGGGCCAGGAGTGCCGGCGCGGGACCCGAGAAGAGGAGGGAGGGGCCAGGAGTGCCGGCGCGGGACCCGAGAAGAGGAGGGAGGGGCCAGGAGTGCCGGCGCGGGACCCGAGAAGAGGAGGGAGGGGGGCCAGGAGTGCCGGCGCGGGACCCGAGAAGAGGAGGGAGGGGCCAGGAGTGCCGGCGCGGGACCCGAGAAGAGGAGGGAGGGCCAGGAGTGCCGGCGCGGGACCCGAGAAGAGGAAGGAGGGGCCAGGAGTGTCGGCATGGGACCCGACAAGAGGAGGGAGGGGCCAGGAGTGCCCGCGTGGGACCCGACAAGAGGAGGGAGGGGCCAGGAGTGCCCGCGTCGGACCCGACAAGAGGAGGGAGGGGCCAGGAGTGCCCGCGTGGGACCCGACAAGAGGAGGGAGGATCGGAGCTGCTCTGTGCAAAACTCGAGCAGGTAAGTAGAACATGTTTGTTATTTTAATTGAAACAAAAAAAAAAACCCCAAAAGCTTCACAACCATTTTAACCCCTAGATGCTGAGTGCACACAAATATGCAGCCTCTTGGCGCCTTGACTTGAGAAGTCCGACGTCACATTCCTGTATCAATCCATTTCACCTCAGTTGTGTCCCGATTGCTTTGTCCTGCGCCCTGCCTCCATTTTTACCGTTCTTTCTGCCTGGAAACTGAGAAACGTCCATGGCGTCCAAAAAGCGTCCCTTTAGGTCAGACGCGGTTTTAGACCGGCTAGAGAACAGCGATAGTAAATCAGAACCACTTGCAGAATTGAGTGATAATGATTGGTGGGGGAAATTCCTCATCAGACACTGAAAACGATTCTGCGACTGAGCTCAGCGATGGGCCAACTTGGCGCTCTATTTCACATTTCAGTGTTTTTGGTTTGATTATATTATTGAATTAAATGTATTATTATATTATAATTTATGGTTTCGTGTTTCAAACGTTATCCTCCCCGGGATGTTTACTAGACTCTTGTTCGGACAGATTTCAGTGAGTTATTCCTAAGAATTACAGGCCTACAATATAAAACAACATATTTCCATGCAAAACAATGTAACGCTTTGACATTCAAAATTATTGGTTAGACCGCCGGGGAGGTTAAGGATGTTTTTTGGATTATATATATATTTGATGTACACATGCTTTTGGTTGAGTGTTCACAGCGCCACCGAGAAAGGCGGTTTTTTTCACACGAGGTATTACGGTAGGAAGCCTACCTTGTCCAGCAGTCTTGCAGTCGTCCTCGGAGGTGAGCATTCAACATCCTTCTCTGCGCAGATGTTATCCAGCAGCTTGCGTGTCTCTGGAAGAACAAACAATAACTGATTAATACCGAAGTCCAATAAAAAGAAAAAAAAAAAAAAATGTATTGATAGAGGTTTTTTTTGGGGGAGGATACATGTGATCAGCACAGGCCAATCAGCGGATACAGTGAATGCGGGGTCCGGGGAGAGCGGATACAGCGAATGCGGGGTCCGGGGAGAGCGGATACAGCGAATGCGGGGTCTGGGGAGAGCGGATACAGCAAATGCGGGGTCCGGGGAGAGCGGATACAGCGAATGCGGGGTCCGGGGAGAGCGGATACAGCAAATGCGGGGTCCGGGGAGAGCGGATACAGCAAATGCGGGGTCCGGGGAGAGCGGATACAGCAAATGCGGGGTCCGGGGAGAGCGGATACAGCAAATGCGGGGTCCGGGGAGAGCGGATACAGCAAATGCGGGGTCCGGGGAGAGCGGATACAGCGAATGCGGGGTCCGGGGAGAGAGCGGATACAGCGAATGCGGGGTCCGGGGAGAGCGGATACAGCGAATGCGGGGTCCGGGGAGAGCGGATACAGCGAATGCGGGGTCCGGGGAGAGCGGATACAGCGAATGCGGGGTCCGGGGAGAGCGGATATAGCGAATGCGGGGTCCGGGGAGAGCGGATATAGCGAATGCGGGGTCCGGGGAGAGCGGATATAGCGAATGCGGGGTCCGGTAAGGGCGGATACAGTGAATGCGGGGTCCGGAGAGAGCGGACACAGTGATTGCGGGGTCCGGAGAGAGCGCAGATATAGTGAATGCGGGGTCCGGAGAGAGCAGATATAGTGAATGCGGGGTCCGGGGAGGGCGGATATAGTGAATGCGGGGTCCGGGGAGAGCGGATAGAGTGATTGCGGGGTCCGGGGAGAGCAGATATAGTGAATGCGGGGTCCGGAATTTAGTAACACGAAGGACCAAATGTGATGGCAGCATTGTGTTTCAGCTTGCTGTATGTAACAATGAGATTGTGGACCCCAAGGGCCCTAAGAGAGGAATGATTTATATAATTATTAGTTATAAAAGATTCCTAACTTGAGCTTTCTCTTGGCAAATGAGCTAGCTAGCGTCTGAGCTTTTTGGGGTTTTTGTGTAATTGTCATATGACACGTTATTCATGCCTCCATGGTGTGTTGCGTTGTAGCGCAGCGACATGCTTTACATTCCAAAGCAGAAATATGCACATCACATCACCATTGCAGTGTGAATAAGGCACAGAGAAAATGTCATGTTTCACATGACTGTCATATGCCTTTAAGTGTTCTCTATATCTTGTCTCTGCTCCTCCCTTTCCTTTGGTTTAGTTAATGCTGTATAGATATCCTCCCCCTTCCCAGTAATGCATTGCAGCTTCTAGCCTCATGTCATGAAGCAGAGCACATTGTGATCTTTTGACCTATCAGATGTTCATTGTTGTAAGATTCTCTCAGTTTATGGAATAAGCATCACAAGAACTACAAGATATCTCATTGAGTCACTGACTGTGGTATCCAACTGAGGTTGAAGTTATCGCTATCTCATCACAACTGTAAGTTACAGAGATCACACTATCAATGCTTAGATTGGAGAGACAGAACAGAAAAAAATAAAAATGGTTTTCCATGTGAATTTTTTTTTTTATGCAGAAAAAACGCAAGTCATGCATACAGTGTAAATATAACCGGAGAATTTGTTTCAGCGGCCATTACCTTCAGTATCAAACTGGTCTGTTGCAGGGAGTTTCTTTCCCAGGACTTTCTCCAGCTCATGCACCATGCTGATTCTTCTGAATGGAGGGGTGAAATCTATTTCCTGGCTCGGTCCTTCAGGTCCCTCCGGGTGATATGTGATTTTGTAACCGCCATGTATGTGCTTAACCATCCCTGCAAGACAAACAGAAGATTAACATAAAAATCATCTTCACGGCTTGTGGTTCAATATACTCTCACCGGCCACTATTAGTTTTGCCTTTAATTACACTTTAGGAGCTTTTAAAAAAAGAACACTTTATATAGCTACACAGAAGATATAAAGACTATGAAGGGCTCCAAAAAGGTATGAAAAGCTTGGGGCTTAAATTTGAGTTTAACCCTTTCACGCCGTCGTCACACAAATATCGCAGAACTGGGCTTTTTTCCATGGGGGCCCCATATTTGCGTACTTGTCTTTGTGCCATACGGCGTGCTCCCAGCACAAAGACCGCGGTGTCACAGAGCACCAGGTCCCGTTCTAGCGATCAGGACCCAGGACTCCCGAATCCGGGTCACATGATCGCTGTGATAGCCTCTCTGTATGGCTATCACGGTGATCAGTCACTGTACAGCCCGGCCCCCTTGGGGGTTTTTTCTCCCTGTGAATGGAGAAGAGAGATACATTGTATCATCATTATATACATCCCATTATACATTGTATCTATTCTATACATTCCATTATACATTGTATCATTCTATGCATCCTATTATACATTGTATCATTATATGCATCCTATTATACATTGTATCATTATATGCATCCTATTATACATTGTATCATTATATGCATCCTATTATACATTGTATCATTATATGCATCCTATTATACATTGTATCATTGTATGCATCATTATACATTGTATCATCCTATACATCCCATTATACATTGTATCATTATATGCATCCTATTATACATTGTATCATTATATGCATCCTATTATACATTGTACATTGTATCATCCTATTATACATTGTATCATTATATACATCCTATTATACATTGTATCATTATATACATCCTATTATACATTGTATCATTATATATACATTGTAGTATATACAGGTCCATAAATATTGGGACATCGACACAATTCTAACATTTGTGGCTCGATATACCAAGACAATGGATTTGAAATGAAACAAACAAGATGTGCTTTAACTGCAGACTGTCAGCTTTAATTTGAGGGTATTTACATCCAAATCAGGTGAACGGTGTAGGAATTACAACAGTTTGCATATGTGCCTCCCACTTGTTAAGGGACCAAAAGTAATGGGACAGAATAATAATCATAAATCAAACTTTCACTTTTTAATACTTGGTTGCAAATCCTTTGCAGTCAATTACAGCCTGAAGTGTGGAACGCATAGACATCCCCAGACGCTGGGTTTCATTCCTGGTGATGCTCTGCCAGGCCTCTACTGCAACTGTCTTCAGTTCCTGCTTGTTCTTGGGGCATTTTCCCTTCAGTTTTGTCTTCAGCAAGTGAAATGCTCAATCGGATTCAGGTCAGGTGATGGACTTGGCCATTGCAGAACATTCCACTTCTTTCCCTTAAAAAACTCTTTGGTTGCTTTTGCAGTCTGCTTTGGGTCATTGTCCATCTGCACTGTGAAGCGTCCAATGAGTTGTGAAGCATTTGGCTGAATATGAGCAGATAATATTCCCGAAACACTTCACAATTCATCCGGCTGCTTTTGTCAGCAGTCACATCATCAATAAATACGAGAGGACCAGTTCCATTGGCAGCCATACATGCCCACGCCATGACACTACCACCACCATGCTTCACTGATGAGGTGGTATGCTGAGGACCATGAGCAGTTCCTTCTCCATCCTCTTCTCTTCCCATCACTATGGTACAAGTTGATCTCGGTCTCATCTGTCCATAGGATGTTGTTCCAGAACTGTGAAGGCTTTTTTTACATGTCGTTTGGCAAACTCTAATCTGGCCTTCCCGTTTTTGAGGCTCACCAATGGTTTCCATCTTGTGGTGAACCCTCTGTATTCACTCTGGTGAAGTCTTCTCTTGATTGGTGACTTTGACACACATACACCTACCTCCTGGAGAGTGTTCTTGATCTGGCCAACTGTTGTGAAGGGTGTTTTCTTCACCAGGGAAAGAATTCTTCGCTCATCCACCACAGTTGTTTTCCGTGGTCTTCCAGGTCTTTTGGTGTTGCTGAGCTCACAGGTGCGTTCCTTCTTTTTAAGAATGTTCCAAACAATTGTTTTGGCCACGCCTAATGTTTTTGCTATCTCTCTGATGGGTTTGTTTTGTTTTTTTTTCAGCCTAATGATGGCTTGCTTCACTGATAGTGACAGCTCTTTGGATCTCATATTGAGAGTTGACAGCAACAGATTCCAAATGCAAATAGCACACTTGAAATGAACTCTGGACCTTTTATCTGCTCATCGTAATTGAGATAATGAGGGAATAACACACACCTGGCCATGGAACAGCTGAGAAGCCAATTGTCCCATTACTTTTGGTCCCTTAACAAGTGGAAGGCACATATGCAAACTGTTGTAATTCCTACACTGTTCACCTGATTTGGATGTAAATACCCTCAAATTAAAGCTGACAGTCTGCAGTTAAAGCACATCTTGTTCGTTTCATTTCAAATCCATTGTGGTGGTGTATAGAGCCAAAAATGTTATAAATGTGTTGATGTCCCAATATTTATGGACCCGACTGTACATCCCATTATACATTGTATCATTATATGCATTCCATTATACATTGTATCATTATATACATCCTATTATACATTGTATCATTATATACATCCCATTATTATTGTACATTGAATCATTATATACATTCTATTATACATTGTATCATTATATACATCCTATTATACATTGTATCATTATAGACATCCTATTATACATTGTATAATCATTATATACATTCTATTATTATACATTTTATCATTATATACACATCCTATTGTACATTGTATCTAACTCCTGGCATAGAGGGAAAAAAATGTTAAAAAAAGATGAAATATTAAAAAAAAAAAAGGAAAAATAAAGAAAAATATCTAGATCAAGGTTTGATCTAGGTCAGTGACAGGGTAAGTGTTTGGGTAAAGGTCCCCTGTCCTGCCCTGACCTGGCCACTGCTGTCTACAACAATTCGCTTTCAGACACTTTAGACTCGCTTGCTCCTCCAACAACATGAAGCATCAGGCCCCGACCGGTACAACCTTGCAGACTGACCACACCCGAAACCTCAAACGACATAGTCGTGTGCTGGAGTGATTATGGCGTAAAACCAAATCCCACCAAGCGTTCACCCGATATAAATCTGCCTTCTTAACATACACTTCCTCCCTTCGCGCTGCCAAACAAGCCTACTTTGTTACTCTCATTAATACCTTCTCCTCCAGTCCTCGTCGGCTCTTCTCTACTTTTAACTCTCTACTTTTTACGCCTCCACCCAGTACCTCACTCATTGCCCACGAGATTGCAAACCACTTAAAAAACAAGACTGATTGCAATTCCTAGGGACTTTGCCACTGCTCAGACTTCCAACCCACCTAGCATCCCTCACACTAAACCTCCCTCAACACTTTCCTCTTTTGCCCTTGCTACTACCGAAGAGGTCACTAAGGTTTTCTCAGAAGCCCGCCTCACCACCTGCCCCCTGGACCCTGTCCCCTCACAACTACTACTGTCACCCTCTTCTTCCATCCTATGCTCCCTCACTCACATCTTCAATCTTTCCCTCTCTACTGGCACATTCCCCTCCCCCTAAAGCACGCGCACATCACTCCCATACTTAAAAAACCCTCCCTGGACCCCACCAACCTGAACAACCTAAGAGCCATCTCCCTGCTGCCATTTACCTCTAAACTCCTAGAACGCTTAGTCTACAATCACCTGAGTTCCCACCTCACCAACAACAATCTTCCTGACCCCCTACAGTCTGGCTTCCGCCCTCTACACTCCACTGAAACTGCCCTACTAAGACTCACTAATGATCTAACTGCTAAAACCAATGGCCACTATTCAATACTCCTACTACTCGACCTCTCCGCGGCGGCTTTTGACACGGTTGACCATCCCCTCCTCCTCAAAAAACTCTACTCTCTTGGTCTCAGAGATTCTGCTCTCTCCCTGGTTCTCCTCCTACCTATCACAACGCTCCTTCAGTGTTACCTATAATGCTGCCACCTCCCCTTCACTCCCTCTCTCTGTTGGGGTCCCTCAAGGCTCTGTCCTCGGACCACTTCTCTTCTCCATCTACACCTCCTCCCTTGGTCAACTTATAAACACTCCCATGGCTTCAATTACCACCTCTATGCTGATGACACACAAATCTATCTTTCTACCCCTCACCTCACCCCTTCAGTCTCCTCTCGCATTACTAGCCTACTAAGTGACATCGGCATGGATGTAACTCCACTTCCTCAAACTCAATCTTTCCAAAACAGAGCTCTTAGTATTCACCCCAGCCCGTGCCCCCCCCCCCCCCCGACTTCTCCATCAAGATCAACAACACTATCAGTCCCTCCCCTCATGCCAGGGTACTGGGTGTAATCCTAGACTCTCATCTGTCCTTTCAGCCCCAAATCCAATCACTGTCCAAATCTTGTAGACTTCACCTCCACAACATCTCCAACCTCCGCAACACCTCCAGGATACGCCCGTTCCTAACCCCGGAAACCACTAAACTACTTATTCACTCCCTTGTTATATCTCGCCTTGACTATTGTAACTCCCTCCTCATTGGTCTACCTCATCACAGGCTATCCCCTCTTCAGTCTATCATGAATGCTGCTGCCAGACTCATCCACCTTACTAACCATTCTGTATCTGCCACCCCTCTCTGCCAATCCCTCCACTGACCTCCACTCAGTGTCCTCCACCCCTCTCTGCCAATCCCTCCACTGACCTCCATTCAGTGTCCTCCATCCCTCTCTGCCAATCCCTCCACTGACCTCCATTCCGTGTCCTCCATCCCTCTCTGCCAATCCCTCCACTGGCCTCCACCCCTCTCTGCCAATCCCTCCACTGTCTTCCAGTTGCCCAACGGATAAAAATTCAAAGCACATACACTGACGTATAAAGCCGTTCATAACTCCGCAACAAATTACATCACCGACCTTGTCTCTAAATATCACCCAAACCGTCCTCTCCGCTCCTCGCAAGACCTCCTGCTCTCTAGCTCCCTTGTCTCCTCCTCCCATGCTTGTCACCAGGACTTCTCCAGGGCTTCCCCCATCCTCTGGAACTCTCTACCCCAATCTATCAGACTATCTCCTACTCTGCTCACTTTTAGGCGATCTCTGAAAACCTCTCTTCAGGGAAGCCTATCCTGCCCTCAGCTAATAATGGAATCTTCTACTCTTCCAACCAGTCCATACCCCACAGTTACTACCTTTTGTACCACTAGCCCCTCCCTCCTAGATTGTAAGCTCCAATGATCAGGCCCTCAAATCCCTCTTGCATTGAACTGTATTGTTACTGTATTGCCTCCCACTATAATGTAAAGCGCTGAGCAAACTGTCGGCGCCATAAATCCTGTATAATAATAATAATAATAATATAAATCCTGTATAATAATAATAATATAAATCCTGTATAATAATAATAATATAAATCCTGTATAATAATAATAATCATAATTTAAATCCTGTATAATAATAATATAAATCCTGTATAATAATAATAATATAAATCCTGTATAATAATAAATAATAATAATAATATATAAATCCTGTATAATAATAATAATAATATAAATCCTGTATAATAATAATAATAATAATTTAAATCCTGTATAATAATAATAATAATAATAATCCTATAAAATCCTAATATAATCCTGTAATAATAATAATAATATAAATCCTGTATAATAATAATAATATAAATCCTGTATAATAATACAAATAATTAAATCCTGTATAATACTAATAATAATATAAATCCTGTATAATAATAATAATCATATAATTTAAATCCTGTATAATAATAATAATATAAATCCTGTATAATAATAATAAAGGTCAGGATTTTTTTTTTTTAATTGGTATAAGTGTCAGTGTGTTTTAGGTTTTTTGTACTACGGGTACAAACAACAAGTAATCTACACATAGATGGTATCGCTGCAATCGTCAAGAGCTGGAGAATTTATTTTGGGTTGTTCTTTGGTGGTAGGTTATGGTAGAAACACACAGCTAAATTAAAAGTAATTTTTTTTTTTTTTTTTTACTATTTTGGGCCAGAAAAAAAAAAAATCAAGAGATATCCATTACCATTTACCACCAAATGAAAGCCCAATTTGTCCTGAAAAAGAAACGCGGTATAATCCACCCGGATGTACAAAGTAGTTGTGATGATACGGACGGTTATACGAACACAGGTCAAAGTTGCAAAATTGTGCTTAGGCATTAAGATTTGTTCTACCCTCAGGCACGGTGTATGCTAAATAGAAGAATGCAAAGTCTTACCTGACAGCAGTTTTTCGGTGATTTCCATGAGGTCGTGGTAATCTGCATAGGCCATATAAAACTCACAGGTTGTAAATTCTGGGTTGTGGGTCATGTCGATTCCTTCATTCCTGAACTGCCTGCCCACTTCGTATACACGGTCAATGCCTCCGACCACCAGCATCTGTAAGAAAACATCTTCCATTCATCATAATCAGGCAAATCTGACCCACATTAGCACTGGTAAATAACTTCGTATAATCAGCATGACAAAAAAAACAAAAACCAAAAAGGTCTAACTAAGTCAGTGTTTCCTCTTTGGTTCCTGGATATTTCACCTTAAGAAAAAAGGATATAGTAGGTGACTGAAGAATGGAACACAAAATTCCCGGGATTGTATAGTCATTACTTGCGCATTCCCTTTGGCCTATTATGAAGAGTGTCCTTACTGACCAATAAGAACACGAAGCAGGCGGGTGGTGTCAGCAATCAACAGTTGGGAATTGTTGGACGTATGTTGGAACCTGTGCAGAACCCCTAGGCCTAGTGACACATACACAATATATTGCCAAAAGTATTGGGCCGCCTTTCCACTGAACTTTAATTACCCCCAGTCTTAGTCCGTAGGGTTCAATATTGAGTTGGCCCCGCCCTTTCCACGCAGATGAATTTTAATGGCCCCCCCAGTCTTAGTCCGTAGGGTTCAACTATAACAGCTTCAACTCTTTGTCAGGTCAGGCACTGATGTCGGGGGAGGAGGCCTGGCTCGCAGTCTCCGCTCTAATTCATCCCAAAGGTGTTCTATGGGGTTGAGGTCAGGACTCTGTGCAGGACAGTCAAGTTCCTCCACCCCAAACTGGCTCCTCCATGTCTTTATGGACCTTGCTTTGTGCACTGGTGGGCAGTCATGTTGGAACAGGAAGGGGCCATCCCCAAACTCTTCCCACAAAGTTGGGAGCATGAAATTGTCAAAAATGTCGCCTTAAGAGTTCTTCACTGGAACTAGGGGGCCAAGCCCAACCCCTGAAAAACAACCCCCCACCATAATCCCCCCTCCACCAAACTTTACACTTGGCACAATGCAGTCAGGCAAGTACCGTTCTCCTGGCAACCACCAAACCCAGACACATCCATTAGATTGCCAGACAGAGAAGCGTGATTGGTCACTCCAGAGAACACGTCTCCACTGCTCTAGAGTCCAGTGGCGGCGTGCTTTACACCACGGCATCCGACGCTTTGCATTGCACTTGGTGATGGAAGGCTTGGATGCAGCTGCTCGGCCATGGAAACCCATTCCATGAAGCTCTCTACGCACTGTTGTTGGGCTCATCTGAAGGCCACACCAAGTTTGGAGGTCTTTAGCTATTGACTCTGCAGACAGTTGGCGACTTCTGCGCACTGTGCGCTTCAGCATGCGCTGACCCCGCCCTGTCATGTGACGTGGCCTACCACTTGGTGGCTGAGTGGCTGTTGTTCCCAGTTGCTTCCACTTTGTTATAATCCCACTAACAGTTGAGCGTGGAATATTTAGTAGCCAGGAAATGTCACAGATGGACATATTGCCCAGGTGGCCACCTATCACGGGACCACGCTTGGAGTCACTGAGCTCCTGAGAGCGACCCATTCTTTCACCAATGTTTGTAGAAGCAGCCTGCATGCCTAGGGGCTTGATTGTATACACCTGTGTCCATGGAGGGGATTGGAACGCCTGAATCACATGATTTGGGAGGGGATTGGAACACCTGAATCACATGATTTGGAGGGGATTGGAACACATGATTTGGAGGGGATTGGAACACCTGAATCACATGATTGGGAGGGATTGGAACACCTGAATCACATGATTTAGGGAGGGGATTGGAACACAATCCATGATTGGGAATCACCTGAATCACATGATTGGGAGGGGATTGGAACACCTGAATCACATGATTGGGAGGGGATTGGAACACCTGAATCACATGATTGGGAGGGGATTGGAACACCTGAATCCGATGGGAGGGGATTGGAACACCTGAAACACATGATTTGGAGGGGATTGGAACACCTGAAACACATGATTTGGAGGGGATTGGAACACCTGAATCACATGATTTGGAGGGGATTGGAACACCTGATTCACATGATATGGAAGGGATTGTAACACCTGAATCACATGATATGGAGGGGATTGGAACACCTGAATCACATGATATGGAGGGGATTGGAACACCTGAATCACATGATATGGAGGGGATTGGAACACCTGAATCACATGATATGGAGGGGATTGGAACACCTGAATCACATGATATGGAGGGGATTGGAACACCTGATTCACATGATTTGGAGGGGATTGGAACACCTGATTCACATGATTTGGAGGGGATTGGAACACCTGATTCACATGATTGGAAGGGATTGGAACACCTGAATCACATGATTTGGAGGGGGGGGGGGGGGGCAATACTTTTGGCAATATAGTGTATATTTCAATAAAGTCATTTACACAATGCTGACCGTATACAGTATCTGTAATGAAAAAACATTGTGACCCATCCTGTGTCTCCGCACACCATCAGATCTGGGCACGTTATGTTTACCTTGTGATAGAGCTCAGGAGCGATCCTCATATACAGGTCCATGCCCAGCTCATTGTGATGCGTGATAAAAGGTTTGGCAACGGCACCTCCTGGAATAACGTTCATCATCGGAGTCTCAATCTGTTGACGAAGACACCGTATCCTTAGACCAATACATGTAGCATGCCGATACACAATCTATAACATCAGCCCATTCCTTGAAGAGAAAGAATCATTAAATACATCAAGAGTAGTCATTTCATAAAGATAGGATGTGACGGGAGTCACATTGGGTGGGGGGGCCCATGGAACCCAGCTCACTTTGGAGAGGTGGGGAGACCCCTGTCTCAGCTCCCCATATCCCTCTTTTGTGTAAGTCACCCTGTGCCTGTTAGGGGTACAGGGTGTTCTGTCCTAATATTGGGGTGGGGGGGTTGTAGATTGTTTAATGCCATGTGGCTGCATCCCATTGTTCTATTGTGTGTCTTACTTAGGAGCAAACTATTATGGGATGTATGGGTCTATGTGTATTAGCTCAGTGGGGGGGGGGGGGGGGGGTGGTGTCTCTAGCAGCCTTTCCTCCTGATGGGACTGTCTGTTGGTGTGTCTCTTGTTACTAAAGGTAGATTGCTCCCGGCACTGTACTCTTCACAGGGCAGATCGGCTCCTGCTGCTGTCAAACGCATGACGAGGGAGCGGGGCCGTGCCCCCCTCGGTCTATGGACGCAGATGGTGGTGCTTGGAAGCCAGCCCGCATGAGTGCCCCCATAGGAAGCAGCTTCCGATGGGGGCAATGGATGAAGAGGAGGAGCCAGGAGCGATAGATGCACACAGCTCAGGATCACGTCTGCATGTCTTCCACCATAAGAAGTGGTTTCCTATGGTAGCACTTGGAAAAGGGGAGGAGGAAAGAGAGCACCGGTAGGGGACCCGAGAAGAGGAGGATTGGTGCTGCTCTGTGCAAAACCATTACACAGAGCAGGTAAGTATAATATGTTTGTAATTTTACTATAAAAGAAAGAAAAAAAAACCCAAAGCTTTACAATCACTTTAAAATCGTTACCTCAAGGAATCCCAAGTCATCCAGAAACTTGCGAAGGTAGGTGATGATTTTCGCTCTGGTGATGAACTTTTGCCGCACATAATCATTGAGAATGAGATCCAGGTAACGCTGCCGGAATCTGGTCTCCTGCAAGTCAGAGAAAGCAAATTGTGACAATCATGGATGGTGAAAGCCTTGAACCTTAACATTCCACACGATGCATGAGAACATTCCGGCCTCTGCCCCAAAATGCCGGGCAACAGAGAAGAATGAGGCAGGGAATCGCTCTCACCAGATATCCGGTAAAGAAACTGACCAAACACAGAGGACAGCCTGACGGCCAGGTAGGGTGTGCCTGTGCCCGTGCATGTGCTGTACCTTGTCTTTAAGACCGAAGTGCAGGTGTGGCAGCATGTGCAGACAGGGGGACAGCAGCGTCATCTCCTTGGGGATAATACTTAGTTCTCCCTTCTTGGTTTTCCCAGGATTCCCCCGAACTCCGATAATGTCTCCCCTCCGGAGCTTGTTATTGATTGCTGCAAAAGCTTCTTCAGACTTGTAAACTCTGTTGGGTTGGGGAGGATACGGTCATTACATGGCATGAAAGGCTTCACCTCAGTGCATGATATAGTGTGCAGCACACGCATGTAATCCAAGCACTAGAAATAGAATATAAAAAAAAAAAAACTTGCATAATAACTCTGCCAATCCCTCCACTGACCTCCACTCAGTGTCCTCCACCCCCCTCAGTGTCCTGCCAATCCCTCCTGACCTCTCAGTGTCCTCCACCCCCCTCTGCCAATCCCTCCACTGACCTCCACTCAGTGTCCTCCACCCCCCTCTGCCAATCCCTCCACTGCCAATCCCTCTGCCAATCCCTCCACTGACCTCCACTCAGTGTCCTCCACCCCCCTCTGCCAATCCCTCCACTGACCTCCACTCAGTGTTCTCCACCCCCCTCTGCCAATCCCTCCACTGACCTCCATCAGTGTCCTCCACCCCCCTCTGCCAATCCCTCCACTGGACTCCACTCAGTGTCCTCCACCCCTCTCTGCCAATCCCTCCACTGACCTCCACTCAGTGTCCTCCACCCCCCTCTGCCAATTCCTCCACTGGCCTCCATTCAGTGTCCTCCACCCCCCTCTGCCAATCCCTCCACTGACCTCCACTCAGTGTCCTCCACCCCTCTCTGCCAATCCCTCACTGGCCTTCATTCAGTGTCCTCCACCCCTATCTGCCAATCCCTCCACTGGCCTCCATTCAGTGTCCTCCACCCCCCTCTGCCAATCCCTCCACTGGCCTCCATTCAGTGTCCTCCACCCCCCCTCTGCCAATCCTTCCACTGACCTCCACTCAGTGTCCTCCACCCCCCTCTGCCAATCCCTCCACTGGCCTCCATTCAGTGTCCACCACCACCCCTATCTGCCAATCCCTCCACTGGCCTCCATGCAGTGTCCTCCACCCCCCTCTGCCAATCCCTCCACTGGCCTTCATTCAGTGTCCTCCACCCCCCTCTGCCAATCCCTCCACTGGCCTCCATTCAGTGTCCTCCACCCATCTCTGCCAATCCCTCCACTGACCTCCACCCCACCCCTCTCTGCCAATCCCTCCACTGGCTTCCACTCGCCCAACGAATAAATTTCAAAATACTAAGAACAACTAACAAAGCCATCCACAACTCTGCTCCCAGTTACATCGCCAACCTGGTCTCAAAATATATCAACCAAACCGCTCTCTATGATCCTCCCAAGACCTTCTGCTCTCTAGTTCCCGTGTCACCTCCTCCCATGCTCACATCCAGGACTTCTCCCGAGCTTCTCCCATCCTATGGAACTCCCTACCCCAATCTGTCCGGCTGTCTCCTAATCTATCCACCTTTATATGATCCCTGAAAACCTCTCTTTAAAGAAGTCTATCCTGTTTCTACCTAGTAAACTGCCATTTATTTCCTCCATCAGCTCCTCCCCCACACAGCTATTACCTTTTGTATCACTCAGCCCTTCCTCCTAGATTGTAAGCTCCCAGGAGCCGGGCCCTCCGTTTCCTCTTGTACCAAATTGTATTGTAACCGTCATGTCTGCCTTCATTTTGTACAGCGCTGCGCAAACTGTTGGTGCCATATAAATCCTGTATTATAATAATGCTAAAAAGTGTGGGCTTTTTTTCCCCCCATTTATAGCTACCTAGGTGGATGCAGCATCACTCCGAAGCTTCCTCTGTTCCCCGCCGGCTCTAAGTGCGAGTTCACACCACAACACTAGTATCAGTGCAGATCTCTTTTCTGTGCAGGAATCTGCAACGTGTACAAAACTCATTGCATTGCACATGAAAACTGATGTAAACGGATTCCTCTGCAGGTGAAATCTGCATGTCAGTTTTCCATCAGTTTTTCTGCACGTGTGGTGTGACCGGGGCCTTCGACTTTTCTCCTAAATGGTAAGGATTTTCATAATTTTATTAACTGTTTAGCGTTTTGTGCAATGGGGGGGGGGGGGGGGGGGGGGGGGCGGGGGGGGATTAATGGGGGATTTTTTTTGCCTATCCAAGTTCTTCTATAACCACTTCAATACCAAGCACTTACACCCCCTTCCTGCCTACAGGGCACTTCCACCCCCTTCCTGCCCCACCAGGCACTTCTACCCCCTTCCTGCCCACCGGGCACTTCTACCCCCTTCCTGCCCACCGGGCACTTCTACCCCCTTCCTGCCCACCGGGCACTTCTACCCCCTTCCTGCCTACAGGGCACTTCTACCCCCTTCCTGCCTACAGGGCACTTCCACCCCCTTCCTGCCTACAGGGCACTTCCACCCCCTTCCTGCCTACAGGGCACTTCTACCCCCTTCCTGCCTACAGGGCACTTCCACCCCCTTCCTGCCTACAGGGCACTTCCACCCCCTTCCTGCCCACCGGGCACTTCTACCCCCTTCCTGCCTCCCGGGCACTTCTACCCCCTTCCTGCCTACAGGGCACTTCCACCCCCTTCCTGCCTACAGGGCACTTCCACCCCCTTCCTGCCTACAGGGCACTTCCACCCCCTTCCTGCCTACAGGGCACTTCCACCCCCTTCCTGCCTACAGGGCACTTCCACCCCCTTCCTGCCTACAGGGCACTTCCACCCCCTTCCTGCCTACAGGGCACTTCTACCCCCTTCCTGCCTACAGGACACTTCTACCCCCTTCCTGCCTACAGGGCACTTACACCCCCTTCCTGCCTACAGGGCACTTACACCCCCTTCCTGCCTACAGGGACACTTCTACCCCCTTCCTGCCTACAGGGCACTTACACCCCCTTCCTGCCCAGGCCAATTTTCTGCTTTCAGCGCTATCACACTTTGAATGACAATTGTACAGTCATGCAACACTGTACCCATAGGAAATTTTTATAATTTTTTTTCACACAAATAGAGCTGTTGGTGGTATTAAATCACCACTGAGTTTTCTATTTTTTGTTTAAAACAAAAAAAAACCTGAAACTTTTGAAAAAAAAAACCCCAAAAAAAAAACGCACTTTTCTTCGTTTTGGTTATAAAATTCTGCAAATAAATAACATTTCTTCATAAATGTAGGTCAAAATGTATTCTGCTACCTTTCTTTGGTGAAAATAATAATTGAATTTGCATTTTTTTTTTTACGTGTTTCTATTTTTTTTATTACATTTTTCCTTTTTTTTAAACTAATTTATTTTTCAGCACACCAAAGCTGTGACCAAAGCGATACAATGTTACCATAGTAACATTGAACTACTCTGGGCAAGTGATCAGGATTTTTTTTTTCCAACACACATTATGATTGTTAATACCGATGTATTTCATTGATATTTGCAATCATTGTTACTGAATGAAACGGATTCATTCGGTCTTTTGTTGTGATTAGCTGCGATTGGGCAAAGCTGATCATATGATACAGATGGGCTGTGATTGGCCCCGTCTGTATCATGTGACTGCCTTGACCAGTCACAGCTTACAACATAATTGTATACAATGGAGGACAGGAAGCCGTCCATTGTATACTCGACATGTGATCTGCTGTGATTGGCCCCGTCTGTATCATGTGACTGCCTTGACCAGTCACAGCTTACAACATAATTGTATACAATGGAGTGATGATATTATAGTGAAAATAAAGTGATGACACGCCGCCATTGGCGAAGGTCGGCACGGCGGCCATCTTGGAGAGGGTCCACTTGCGTTTTTTGCCCTTGGCTGAGAATCCCTTGCAGAGGCTTCATTGCGGTTGCCTGTACCCAGATGAGATGTGGCCGATGACAGATTGCGCCGCTGCGCAGCCCCGCGAGCGGCTCGTTTTGACAGGATGTCATATAGCGCCCGGTCACAACGGTGAGTGTCCCGCCCGGCAGTCAATCTGCTATAGGCCGGGCGGGAAGGTGTTAGGTTTACTGCTCTGTTTGCTGGTGACCCATTTCAGTTTGTGAATTCTAGTCGCAGGCATGATGAACGGACTTTATAACAAGTAAAACACTTACTTAGAATTTGCCATGACCTGCAGCTTCACACCTTCACCTCGTAGATCATAGAAGAGCAGCTTGGCCCCAGAGATACGCTTGGCGTGGATCCTGCCTAAGAACGAGAAGGAAGATACGGCTGTCACCATGAACACGGCACAGTTCACCTGCCAAAGTGGATATTGGCTTTAAGGTTTACTGAAGAGTCGAGTTCAAAGCTCCTGCACCAGGTCACGTCTATTCATTTGCCCATAAAACCCGGCCCAGAGGTCCACTCATAGAACCTATAGCAGTGTTCGTAGGGCGCTCTGCATGACCTCCAGGAGAAAAGTGTCTGGGGCATCAAGTGAAGGAAGACTAGATGACATAGGAGCAGCTCTTCAAGAGTGGAAGCAGAGTCTAGTAACTATAATCATCAAGGAGGGCGCCTCTAAGTGCAGTACGCAGCGGTCTATTGGATTATTATTATACAGTATTTATAAAGCGCCAATAGTTCGCTCAGCGCTGTACATTACAAAGGGGGACAGAACATGTGACAGAACAATACCAATACAATACAAAACATGGGGGGATTGAGGGTCCTGCTCCTTGGAGCTTACAATCTAGGAGGGAAGGGATGGTGGCACAGGAGGAGATAGCTGTGGGGATGGAGTGGTAGGAAGAGTGGAGGAGGTCGGCAAGTTAGCAGGGGGTGGGGTAGGCTTCCCTGAAGAGGTGGGTTTTCAGGGTGCGCCTAAAGGAGAGGAGAGTAGGTGATAATCTGATGGGTTGGGGCAGGGAGTTCCAGAGGATGGGTGACACCCTGGAGAAGTCCTGGAGGCGGGCATGGGAGGAGGAGACCAGGGAACTAGAGAGAAGGAGGTCTTGTGAGGAGCGGAGTGTGCGTGTTGGGTGGTACTTGGATATTAGGTCAGTGATGTAGTTCGGGGCAGTATGGTGGACGGCTTTGTACGTCAGTGTTAGGATTTTGAATTTGATCCGTTGCGCAATCGAAGCCAGTGGAGGGATTGGCAGAGGGGGGTGGAGGACACTGAGTGGAGGCCAGTGGAGGGATTGGCAGAGGGGGGTGGTGGAGACTGAATGGAGGCCAGTGGAGGGATTGGCAGAGAGGGGAGGAGGACACTGAGTGGAAGCCAGTGGAGGGATTGGCAGAGGGGGGTGGAGGACACTGAGTGGAGGCCAGTGGAGGGATTGGCAGAGGGGGGTGGAGGACACTGAATGGAGGCCAGTGGAGGGATTGGCAGAGGGGGGTGGAGGACACTGAGTGGAGGGATTGGCAGAGGGGGGTGGAGGACACGGAGTGGAGGCCAGTGGGAGGGATTGGCAGGGGGGGTGGAGGACACTGAGTGGAGGCCAGTGGAGGGATTGGCAGAGGGGGGTGGCGGAGATGGAGCGGTTGGAAAGGTGAATGAGTCTGGCAGCCGTATTCAGGATGGACTGAAGCGGGAGATAGCCAGCGGCGAGGCAGGCCAGTGAGGAGGGAGTTTGCAGTAGTCGAGTCGTGATATGATGAGGGAGTGGATGAGCTGTTTAGTGGTTTCTGGGGTTAGGAACGTGCGGATTTTGGCGATGTTGTGGAGGCGGAGTCTGCACGAGTTTGGTAAAGATTGGACTTGGGGCTGGAAGGATAGGTTGGAGTCCAGAATGACACCAAGTACTCTGGCCTGCGGGGCGGGTTTGATGGTGGCGTTGTTGGATGTGATGGAGAGTCAATGGGGGGTGGGGCCCGGGCTGGGGGGAAGACAAGAAACTCGGTCTTGGAGAGGTTCAGTTTAAGGAAGTGGATTATAAAAGGTTAAAAGCACTTACGAGATAGCATTCAGATAAAAAGCTCATCAGGTATAATGCCAGGGAAGTACACTAAGCCGACCAGCAGTAGTAAGTGTGGTGGAACGTACGGGCAAGATAGTCGCTGTACCTCCGGGAGAGGCGTGGATCGCACACGCTAGATGTGACGGTAACGCATTTCGGAGCATGCACAGACACTCCTGAAGGAATGTCTGCGCATGCTACAAAACGCGTTACCGCCCCTTTGACGTCACGTCCTTCATTGTACATGATGAGCTTTTATCTGACTGTTATCTCATAAGTGCTTTTAACCTTTTATAATCCAATAAACTGCTGCGTTCTGCACTTAGAGGCGCCCTCCTTGCGGTTTGCTCATAAGGCTCCATGCACACGGGGCGTTTTAATAACGCTGGTAATGTGTTAGTGGTGTAAATAGGGCTCCAACGTGTGTCTCTCTCTCATGCGATTTCTAAAAAATTTTTTTAAATCGCATATATTTTTTTTATATGGTGAGAAAGACACATTGGAGTCCTATTGGAGACTTGGGAAGACTTCTATGCATAGATTGAAGGGCTTTGATGGTCAACTTCATCCTCTGGTGAGAGCGTAAGGAGAACACAGCAACTTGTATATGGAATGTTTCCCGGGACTGAAAGTTTACAATTTGTGGACACTAGTTTTGTGCTGGATATATAGATTATATAGTTTGTATCTACTCTGGGGGGTAGTTTTTATATCTAGCAACTTAAAAGAACACAGAATACCTCAGGCGTTGGTTTACTGTTAGATACAAAACCATTTAATGTTTACAATTGTCATATGATCCGCTGTGATTGGTCACAGCGATCACATGGTACCAGCAGTGGGCCAGAACAGTGATCATATAAAGAAGTAGCTTTGATTCATGCCATTCATTGTGTGCAATTGTTTTGCTAGCTATGATTGGTCACAGTGAACACATGGTACAGGGAGGGCCAATCACAGCCCATCTGTACCATGTAATTGGCTCTGGCCAATCACAACAAAACACTGAGTTGATTTGCATTCAGTAAAAAAAGCTTATAGTGATGAAATTTTATTTCTGACTGTTATCTATAACAATCATAATGTTAGAAAGAAAAAATCCTGATCACTTCCCCAGAGAGGCCGCCCATTTGGGTAGTTTTTAATAGAGATCACATCAGGCCCTCACAAAGTTTTTAAAAATGAATATATAGTGTTTTGGAAAAAATACACGGATTAAAAAAAACATTATATAAAATACATATATATATAAAAAATATATATACATAATATATATATATACACATAATATAAATATATATATATACATACACACACCCAATTTTTTTTGTAAAATATGAAAGCGGATGTTATAGCGAGTAAATAGATACCAAACATGTCACGCTTTAAAACTGCACACGCTCGTGGAATGGCGTGAAACTGCGGTACTTAATCTCCATGGGTGATGCTTTAAAAATGTCTACAGGTTAGCAGTGTGATGTTACGGGGGGGGGGGGGGGTCTAGTGCTCTTGCTCCGACGTTCGTGGCGATACCTCACGTGTGCGGTTTTAGAACTTTGAACGCCATTTACACATGAGGGCGTGGCCTACCAATGCGTTCACCACTACGTGCGAGCATGGGGAGATGGGGGCACTTTAGACTTTTTTTTATTATTTATTTGTTTTGGGAGGGGGGGGGATGGGCGGGGGTTTGCACAGTTCCTTTTAAAAAAAATTTTAATCACGTTTATTCTTATCACAAGAAATGCATGCATCCCTTGTGATAGAAATAATTAGTGACAGGTCCTCTTTATGTAGACATCGGCGGACAATAAGACCCCACATCTCTCCTCTGCAATGTAAAGCCTTGGATCAAAAAAAAGCATTGATCTAGTGCTTTAAAAAAAAAAAAAAAAAATGGCCGGAACGGGAAGTGACATCGCTCTGATCCTCCAAGGGCATAGAGATGAATGGAGGCCTTTTTACTTTCACTCATCTCTATGCCCATCGATGGTTTCTCAGGTAAGACTGAATTACTGAGCTGTGATGAGGGGGCGGGGTTTTTTTTTAGCACCTGTATTGGCGCTTTTTTTTTTTCATTGTGGCCTAAAAGGCCGAAAGGGGTGTTTTCGGCCGAAATTTCGGCCACTGAAATTTTGGTACATCCAATCCAATTACACAAAAAAACATACATAATACAAAAAAAAAAAAAAAAAAAAAGTACATAATACACCAACCTGCCACGCTCACCACTTCCTCCAAGTGTTCCCCGACCTGCAAGCCGTTGTATTTCTGAATGAATTCCGTGAGGGACAAATCCACATGAAACTTGTGCGGATAAGGGTCATCCTTGGTACCTTTCAGCTGTTGGATGGCCTGGGTCCTTATTTTATAGTATTGCTGTGGAAACAAAAACATTGCAAATGTAACACTGGAACAATAAAGTTTTGAGTGTTTAAAAAAGATCTTCTGACTCCGGTCACACAAAGGGAAGAACCCTCTACTGGTGGTCGAACAAGGAAACTGCAGCGTTACAGAGCTCCGGATGACGCCCGCTGTGACGAAACGCGTTGGCCGGGGCTAGGCACTGATGCACACGTTGAAAGGGATCTGCATGCACTGGATTAGCGATACATTCGTTTCGCCAGTGGTGCGCCTTCTATCGCTGAGAGGGGTTGTATACATAGGATTCTGCACTATTTAATGGTCATGGAATTAACTCGCGGTTTTATCTCCGGGATATATGTATCAATTTATTAATTCGGTATTATATTTACATCCAGTGTAGGGAGCTGTGAATGAAGTGAATCTCGCTGTGAGCGCTGTATTTTCTGAGTGTACGGCTCCATGTACACAAGCCTACCGTGACCACCGACTGGAGTTTAGGGTCCCTTTCAAATTCACTTTTGTTTTTAACAGCTCATATTTCCGTTAGTGGCGACCTAAAGGAGATGACTTACCCTGAGTAAAATATATGCCAAAAAACGGTCAGGCTTTAACCACTTCCACGGTGGCAGTGCAGGCTCCCCACGCCCTGCTTGTGCACGCTCCCTGGGAGCGCGCAGCACCGCGATCCGGTGCCCGCTATGTCCTCCAGACACAGTGGAACACCGATCGTCGGACAGGACCTCTGTGCGAAGTCCCGATCATGTGATCACTGATTGGACAATCAGTGATCACATGCAGAGTAGTAAGCAAGATGTCACTTCTGACATCATTGCTTACTATGTGTACAATCTGTGAATGATCACCGAGATCACATGGTACAGGGCTATTCACAACAGCCTTGTACCATGTGACAAGCTGCGACCAATCACAGCTCTCACAGTATTTCTCAATGGCTGCAGGAATGCAGCCAGAGAGAAGGCGAAATGATTGCTTTTAAAGACTTTATGGGTGTAAAAGCAATCAGTGTAAAAAAAAAAAAAAAAAAAAGAAAAAATCTTCATCACCCCCCACAAGTAGTACAGTGTCACCATGGTGACACTGTACTGGTAGAGTGACAGTATGAAAAAAAAAAAAAAAAAACAAATATAAAAAAAAATTAAATAAAAATGTAAAAAAAAAAGGTTTAAAAAATTATAATTTTTGGTTTATAAACGAATTTGGGTTATTTTTTTTTTTACTAAAAAGATAACAGAATAAATTTTGGCCAAGAAATATGATGAAAGATTATTTATTTGCAAAATTTCATAAGAACACTTTTTTCCAACATTTTTGGACTTTTTTCATTTATATAGCAAAAAAATAAAAATCCCAGCGGTGAATAAATACCACCAAAATTAGGTTGTATCTGTCTCAAAAAATGCTAAAAAAATTCATATGTATACAGTGCTGCATGACCGCGCAATTGTCATTCAAAGTGTGATAGCGCTGAAAGCTGAAAAATTGTCCTGGACAGGAAGGGGGGGGAAAAGCGTCCGGACCGGTAGGGGGGAGGAAAAGCGTGGACTGGTAGGGGGGGAAGCGTCCGGACGGTGGGGGGGGGGGGGGAAGCGTCCGGACCGGTGGGGGGGGGGGGGGGGGGGAAGCGTCCGGGGGACCGGTGGGGGGGGGGGGGGGGGGGAAGCGTCCGGACCGGTGGGGGGGGAAGGGCGTCGGACTGGAAGGGGGGGGGGAAAGCCGGTCGGGACTGGAAGGGGGGGGGGGGGAAAGCGTCGGACTGGAAGGGGGGGGGGAAAGCGTCCGGACTGGAAGGGGGGGGGGGGAAAGCGTCCGGACTGGGAAGGGGGGGGGAAAGCGTCCGGACTGAAGGGGGGGGGAAAGCGTCCGACTGGAAGGGGGGGGGAAAGCGTCCGGACTGGAAGGGGGGGGAAAGCGTCCGGACTGGAAGGGGGGGGGAAAGCGTCCGGACTGGAAGGGGGGGGGAAAGCGTCCGGACTGGAAGGGGGGGGGGAAAGCGTCCGTGACTGGAAGGGGGGGGGAAAGCGTCCGGACTGGAAGGGGGGGGGAAAGCGTCCGGACTGGAAGGGGGGGGGAAAGCGTCCGGACTGGAAGGGGGGGGGAAAGCGTCCGGGACTGGAAGGGGGGGGGGAAAGCGTCCGGACTGGAAGGGGGGGGGGGGAAGCGTCCGGACTGGAAGGGGGGGGCTTGTGGGAAAGCGTCCGGACTGGAAGGGGGGGGGAAAGCGTCCGGGGACGGAAGGGGGGGGCGCCGGGAAGCGGGGGGACTGGGAAGGGGGGGGGGGGGCCGGCGTCCGGGACTGGAAGGGGGGGGGAAAGCGTCCGGGGAACGGGAAGGGGGGGGGGAAAGGTCCGGACTGGAAGGGGGGGGAAAGCGTCCGGACTGGAAAGGGGGGGGGAAAGCGTCCCGGACTGGAAGGGGGGGGGAAAGCGTCCGGACTGGAAGTGGTTAAAGAGAATCGATTGGCTGCTAAAAAAAAATTATACCAGGATCATGAGTGACCCCCCCCAGTGCAGCCATGATCCCGTAGAACCACTTCAACCTCACACCGTTTCATAAACAGCTAGAGATGGGAAGTGGTTCATTGACTCTTTGCTGTGAGCGCTGTATTTTCTGAGCGTTAAAAGAATCATACCTTGAACAGATTTGAACGTCCCTTTCAATTTCCACTTTTGTTTTTAACAGATTATATTTCTGCTAATGGGAGTGGTACATTCCTTGAAAGTCACGCAGCTGATAAGACAGGCGCAGGAAAAGAGATTAAAACCTTATTTGCCTTATAAAAAATAAAACTGAAAATAATTTCAACCTGAAATAATTTCAACATTGAAAGGCAAAAATATATGCAGAAGATTATACTTTGCAGATATACTGCATGTATTTTGCCTTCCTTGGTTGAAATTTATTTCAATACTTTTAAGACCGGGCCTATTCTGGCACTCTGTAAAAGATTTGTATTTTTTTGCTAGAAAATTATTTAGAATCCCCAAACGTTTGAAAATAAATAAATATATATATATATATTATCTATATATAAAAAATATACACACATATATATATACACACTTCTGCATGTCATTCATTTTTTTTTTACATTTTTATATATATATATTTTATTACAGGGCACATATATGGCGCCGTCAATTTACGCAGCGCTTTACAACTCACATATATTGAACATTCCCATCAGTCCCTAACCCTCAAGGGGCGTACAATCTAAGGTCCCTAACTCACATATGTATGTGTGTGTATATATATATATATATATTTTTTTTTTTTTTTTTTTTTAAGCAGAGACCATGGAGAATAAAATGATGGTGCATATTCTCACAGAAATACTGATTTTAAAATGTAATGTGAGCAAAAAGTGCCCAGAAAGGCTTGGGGGGGCTGAAAGTGGTTAAGTTTCACGTTTGTTTTCACCGATGATGTTTCTGTTAGTGGGAGTTTTACATTCCTTGAATTTTCCATCTAACAGCGGCCTGATAAGGCAGACACTGGAAAATAGACATTAAAACCCAATTACATGTATTACAAAAAAAAAAAAAAAAATAACTGAAGTTAGTGTGTTTTTTGGACTGCACTTTTTCACGATATGGTCCTTCTAACTAGATCATGCTTCCTCTAGCCATGATATGCTGCTTTACTTTTTTCATTTTGTATCGAAAACATCAACACCTTGAACAAGAAAATAAAACCTGTGTTCATTTGACATGCCTTATTGTAGACCAAGTGACATCATCACAGGGTCCCTGGACTTCTCTATGCAATGCAGGCAGATTCAAGGTCTGGTGGTGAGGGGGGGAGGTGTGTGTGTGCGTACGTGTGTGTGGAGGGGTTAGGATGCTGTACAAAAGCTTCTTGAAAATAAGTTTGTGGTAATGCCTGTATATTATGCCAAGCTTGTTTTCTCCTAGTTCTAATGAAAAGGGTGGGGTCAGGGGAATATATATTAATTCTTCAGCATTCATTTTTTTATTAAATATATATAAAAAAATGAATGCTGAATGCTAAAAGTGGTTCATTGACTCTTGCTGTGAGCGCTGTATTTTTCTGAGCGTTTTAAAAGAATACATACTTGAATAGATTTTTTTATTTTTCATTTTTAATGGAGTTTAATGTCCCTTTCAATTTTCACTTTTGTTTTTAAACAGATTATATTTCTGTTAATGGTAGTGGTACATTCCTTGAAGTCACGCAGCTGATAAGACAGGCGCAGGAAAATAGAGATGAAAACCTAATTCTAACTTATTAAAAAAAAACAAAACAAAAAAAAAACACCTGAAATAATTTCAAACCATGGAAGGCAAAATATATGCAGAAGAAACTGTAAATATTATGCTTTCTATGGTTGAAATTATTTCAATACTTGAAGACCCGGCATATATATATAATATATATATATATATATATATATATAGTATATATATAATATATATTCTTCAGCATTCATTTTTATATATATGCCAAAGAAATATATATGATATATATATATATATATATATATATATATATATATATAAAAAAATTAATGCTGAATATATATATTTATTTTTATTCTTCAGCATGCTGAAGATTTAGATTATATTATATATTTATATATATATATATGAGAGAGAGAAATAATTTTTTTCCCCCAAAAAGTCTAGTGACCAGGATCAGGGGATCAGTGGAAGAGGAAAGGGTCCGCTAACCTGCGGGGTGTTGAGGGATACCAGGATCCCGCACGGCGAGGGCGTCTAAATAATATGGAGAAAAGGGCAGCAGAGGATACAAAGGCCCAACAGTCATACCTTCTCCGGCACCCGAGTCTTCGTTTTGAGTACAATGGGGGGCCCTACATGGGAAGGAAAATCAGAAACTTACATTGGGATCTAGACTTTCCTCATCAAGCTCGTCCGTCTGCTCGGTTGGCGTTTTTTCCGTTTGCTCTTTTTGTTTCGCCTCTTTTTCAGCAGCTTTCTTCTCGGCCTTCATGCGCCTTTTCAACTCACTAAAGAAAAAAAAAAAAAAAG